ATTTTATTATAGAATATTAAGAAGATTTAAATTATTTATTATAGAGGAAAGGGAAGGTTTAATATAAGAAGAAGGTCGAGGATTAGAAGATTTTATTTAGTTAAATGTATTAATAAGAGAATATTTATAGGCTAAGTCTAGATTATTAGAGCATATATTATAATTTATCTTTCTACTTATTTATAGGCTTTATTTGCCTTTTCTACTACTTTTGCTTACTACAGCCGCTATCTAAGCCATATTTATATGTCTTTAATAGAAAGCTTTAATAATAGTATTATATATCGGAATTAAAGTTATTTTCGGAAAGAGATTAAGATTAAGGTTAAGGCTAAGATTAAAGCTAGTATAGCTATATCTTTATTATTTACCTTTAGGATATAAAGATATATATTTAATATAATTATTTAAATCCGAATAAATTTATAATAAATAATACCTAAAAATAGAAATATTAGTACTTAATAACCCTAGGTTAAATATATTTAAATATTAAAAAAATTATAATTTTAGGTATTATAATTATAAAAATAAAGATATAAATATTCTTTCTCTTACTAACTTATAAAAGCTAAGGTATACTAATAATAATTAAACTATACTCGACCTATATAATTAGCTAATTTACTTTACTAATTATAAATAATTCGAGGTAATTTAAATCTTCTCAAATCTCTATATATAACTTATTATATAAACTTCTATATTTCTATATTTAGTAATACTATAATTATAATTTTTGGATAAGAAAAATCCCCTTATTCTAGTATATATAATTATATTTATTTCTTATTTTTCGAATATATAATTATTAAATTAGAGAGGCTTAAAAATTCTAAGTAATACTTTTTCCTAAAAGATATATATCCTTAATAAATAGTAAAAGTAAATATAGAATTATATAATAATATAACTATTCTATACTAGTAACTTTATTTTCTATAAAACTATAATTCTATTTTATCTTTACTCTAAAACCTCTATTCTTCTTCTATATTTTTTTGACTTTACTATTAATACTAAGAACTTCTGCCCTTTACTAATACCTTTTCTATTAATACCTTTATTAATACCTTTATTAATACCTCTATTAATACCAAGAGCTAGTATCTAATTACCTTATAACCTTCCTCTCTTTTTCTTTACTTCTCCTTACCCCTTCTCCTTACTCCTCTTCTAAACCCCTCTTCCGAACCCTTCCTTCTTTAATACTTCTTCTATTAATACCAAGAGCTAGTATCTAACTGCCTTATAACCTTCCTCTCCTCCTCTAAACTCCTCTAAACCCCTCCTCCGAATCCCTTCTCCTTTAATACTTCTACTAATAATACCAAAAGCTAGTATCTAATTACTACTTCCAGGTTACTTTTATCTAGAACTCCCATATTATAAGTCTTTAATCTACTTGCTTCTTAGAAAGCTAAATTTTAGATCCCTCCTCTCCTTTTCTAATATCTCCTTCTCTCCTTTTCTAATATCTCCTTTTCTCCTTTTCTAATACCTCTTATACCTTCGGGCCCTTTAGAAATATCCTTTCTTAAACTTCTAAAAAAGAGGCTAACTTCTATTTAGATCCCTCCAAACTTTAATATCTCCTCTCCTCCTTTAATACTTATAAAAGCCTTTAGGCCATTACTAAGTACTTCTATTCTTTATTTTAGAATATATACTAACTTATTCTTATAAGAAATAGCCTTTCTTTTTCTAATCTCAACTTCTTTAATATATACTTCTTGCCTTTAGGCTATTTAGATATCTCCCTATTTACTTTTATAAAATATATACTAACTTACTTTTTAGTTCTCCTTGCCTTACCTCTCCTTTAATATTACTATATATATATCTAGTTAGTACTAGTTCTTATAACCTATAGTTAGGCTTTCTATTTATTAAATACCCGGATATTTTATTTTATTTTTACTTTATATATTTTATTTTATATATTTTACTTTTCTTTTATTATAAGTTAGAACTCAAATAGTATTTATCTTAAATACTTATATTCTCGGGTATATAAGACTTCTATAGATCTTTCGGGATTATAAACTAGCCTATTTTAGTTCGGGAAAGCTTTCTTGAGAATATTCCAGGAATTATAGTATTTACTATAACTTTTTTTAAAGATTAATATAGTATAGGTATTTCTAGTCTATTCTCTCTCTATAAAGCAAACCGCTGCCCTAAGTCTATATAAAAGTCCTAATTATTCCTTAAATTAAAATATAGGTACTTCTTATTTCTATTAAATTAGATATAAAAAACAGTAAGTACTTTCGGGCTAGACTATAGTACTAGTTAAATACTAAGACTTCCTATACCTATTTTATAAACTTATAATTCGAAATATATTATATTTAATAAGGCTTCTATATCTAATTACTTTATACTATAGTAAAACGTCTTAGTATTATAGTTAGGGGAATTCTGCTTTATAATTTTATCTACTACTTATAGATTTTCTAGCTAATAAATCTTGGCTAATAGCTAAGAAACTTATTAGCTATTCTATCTAAAGCCTCTAGGAACAGGAAATTACCTTAATAAAGACTTAATATCAAAAATAGATTTAACTAATTAATCCAAATAAGGAGTTTATAGTAGAAGTCTTTATATATAAGTAATTTCATATAACGAACTCAAGTCT